TCCAGGCTGATCACCTGGACGTACCTGCAATGATGTCGAAAAAGACATCTGAGCGAAGACGTAGTGAATACTCTGTTCCATAGTTACGACTCAACCATCCTTTCTGCAATGCTGAGTGTGTACTGAATACTCTAAATTGATTCTAATGCTTCCTAAAAAGCCCTCATTGACAATCCTGAAGCCTTATTGAAGACATGCTGACCAGAGTTCATTGTCCGAGGATTGCGCAATTCACAAGGGAGGAGAGATGATGACGAGACAACCAGCCTTGACTGGGTATGTGTGTGTGTGTTTTTTGGGGGGAGGGGGTGGGTGGGCTTAAGGTTGAGGGTTCAGGTAGAGGATGTAGGGTTGTGGTTTTGCGGTTCAGGGTCGGGGTGTCATGGTTGGGGAGGTCATAACTGCAGCCGGCGGTGGTCGTGTCGACGAGGCTGGAATGAAGATGGCGACAACTAAAGAACCTGGTCCTCAAAGGGACGAAGATGTGTTTACATTTGCCCAGCCGCATGAGCACCGATGTACACTACCTTCAAGACAACATAGTTCAGAGGGTCTTCCAAAAACCCTCTGCACAATAATCAGCAATACCAGTACTTGTGCCATCTCAGAAATAAGAGCTTAAATCCCTAATCTACCCTCAATTCCCCCAGAAAGGAAGGGCCCGAAACGCTAAACCCCAAAACGCAAGAAGTCCACAGGAGGAGCACGTGGAATCCACCGAGCCAGGGGAAGCGATAACCTGATGGCAGCGGCTGAAGAACGGCATCACACCATGCAGTTCGAGTTCTCAAGAAGTAATACCCATAGGCTCCAAAGTAGTTCCTTTTTGTGGTTTATATTTAGGATCCTAGAAGGAGACCCCAAAAAGGAACTCCTTTGGAGCCTGTGGATATTGATGTTCCTTTTAGCGTTCCTTTTTCCGGCTTCCTACATGTTTACTAACGTGGGAATCTTGGGTACCACTAGGGACAGTTGGGAATTGCTAATAGTAGGTTGAAAACCGCCCCCTAAGGATGACATAAGCGAATCAGAAAGCCAGTTGGGGGGCACTCCAGATTCAACTACTGTTGATGATACAAATCCTGCATGACCTTAAGGACCCTAAACTATGGGAATTATGGCATATTCCTTATTATGGGTAATGCAGGATTTATATCATCAACCGCATTGAGAGGCAAGTCGGGGTCTTCACAGTATGCAGCTCATAGGACTTGAGCAGTCCCGGTATGAACAGACGGTTGCAGGTTTTGTGGGCTTGAGGCTTCGGGCTGGCTTCAGGGTGCTGTGGATTTGGGAGTTCAGGCTTTCAACCAACCGATTCCACAGTTGTCGTGTCGAACGTGAGTGTGCAAAACTAGGGGTACTACCGATTACTACCCCCGGTACCTTATCCAGGGGTCCTGACTATGAGTATCCGACCACGGGGCTGCACGCCCGGACATCGGAAAACCAGTCCTGACATCGAAAAGGTATTTCCTGCCATCGAAATATGACATCGAAAATCACTCCATGCCCCGTCCCCTTCCCTGTCCTGTCCCGTCGAATGGAAAGATTCGGCCGGACATCGGCAAACCGAAAACTATCTTTGGTTGTCATGGTAAGTAATTTGTTCCATGTCCGCTATTTCCCCATCCCACCAGAACTCCCACACGTGTATCGTTTAGTCTTCCCCTTTCAGGCGTCCGATCCGAGTATGTGCGCCGAGGACTTCGGAACCCAAAATCTTGTCTCACAGGCTCCCAAGTGCCAGTACAAGGCAATATTACCTTCACGGCTTGGAGTTTAGATTGCACATATTTTTGGATTTCGAAAGGTTTCCATCAGTGCTCTTTTCCCAGAGCTATTATTCTCGGAACCAATCATCATGGTTTAGGTACCTCGGACCCCTAGAATAAAGTGAATGAAGCATGCTTCTGCCGAAGCTGTCAGGCGTCAAGGCTCCGATGACCGTACGCTCCTCTTTGACCAGGTACCTTAAGCGCAACCCTGGGTTGATATGACTGTTGTTGTGCCGCCGTTCGTTTTGCTTCCCGCTAGTAACCGCTAGTATCCCTGCTCGCCATGGCTTTGCAGCTTGCTGACTTCCTTGCTCGGGCTCCTCGGTCGCAAACAGCCAGATGTGAGTGGTGAGTGTGTAGCCAGGGTGCCGTTCAACCGCACCTAGCAAAAAAAACACCTAACGTCACGTACCCTTCAGACGCACCGATTACCTTCACACCGGGGAGATATTCGTTGTCACGGGTGCACACAGCAGCCAGCATCCCCGAATTCTGTGTGTAGGATTGCTAGAAACCCGAAGCCTTAGAGTGGCAAGCCCAGAGCCGAAAGCACAGCCGGGCACTCGCCTGCCATGTCCGAGTTGTGAACCCAGCACTTCTGTGATAAACTACGAGACATTAGTTTTTTCAAGCCCTGCCAGAGAAGCCTAGAAATGCAAAGCTTGCACCCAATGTTTTCGTCTCTTGGCACTAACAGTGTCTTGATTAAATCTAAACCCTGTAGGGTTTAGGGTTTTAAAACCTATAAACCTCACGGATTATCGATCCATGGCTTCGGTCCTTGCTGATTCTGCTTCTTGCCTTATGCCCAAAACCCGAAGCCCTAAGCCTTAGCCCCAGTTTGGAGTGCGGACCGTAAGCGCAAGACCTGAATTCGGAAGCAAACCTGAAAAAATCGGATCCTTGAATCGTGGGTTTAGGGTTTTAGGGTGAATCCCTATAAGCCTTAAACCCGACAGTCTTTATTGCCCGAATACCTTAAACTTTGGAGCTTTAGCCTCAGACCGCATGGTTTTTTATCCAAGGCAAAGAAGTCCTGTGAGCCTGTGGGCCTTTTGATGCTCTCACTTCTTGGGCCGAAGAAGATCTTTTGCATTGACCTAAACCCTAAACCCCCAAGCCGAAAACCCCGAAAACCCCATACCCTTAAACCGACAACCCCGTAAACCCTATAAACCCTCTAAACCCTCTATACCCTCTAAACCCTATAAGCCCTATAAGCCCCATAAGCCCTCTAAACCCTAAACCCTTAAAACCCTATAAACCCTACACCCTCTAAACCCTATAAGCCCTATAAACCCTCTAAGCCCTATAAACCCTATAACCCTCGCATTCCAGGTGTCTGAGCCTCTGGGCCTCAACAAGCCTTACATGCGGAATGCCGTCGCCCACGTCAACCTTTCCGACGAGGATTTAGGGTTCAGGGGTTTAGGGTTTAGGGTTTAGGGGGAGATCCGAGAAAAAAATTCTCTGGGTTCTTGAGTTTGCGATGCAGGGTTTAGGGTGAAGAGGCGTGCACTTCTGCGCTAAGGGGTTAAGAGGTATCTGGCTAGACTTGAGTCCATTGGCAAAAAGGGTTTGGGATTGTGGCGCTGCAGGGTTGTGTTATATGTCTATGGTGCGAATGGCTCATGTTCTTGAATTAACCCTAAGCCCAACTAGCAAAGGGAGCCGCCTCTGATCGACAGCAAGAAGCTAACCCAGGGCCCGATTCCGCTTACGCAGGGTTGCTTACAATAGCGGGTAAGCCATGTAAGGACGAAAGTAAACGAGCCAATCGTAAGTAATACTAGCAATAGTTAACAGTAGTAGTAAAGAAAGGATTACCAACACTTCGTGATACGGGGCGCTGGTTACCTGATAGGTACATGGATATATAGATACACCGCTAACCAGGTAGACTGATAGACAGACAGATATGTAGGTGGATAGAATGATGGATAAGGTAGACAGACTTAGACAGATTCCTGATATGTTTAAGGGAGTGTTATTGCTCTCTGTGATTCTCCTCACCCTGGCACAAGCCGAGGAGATGCGTGATATTCCGAACCCTTGGAATGAGATGCAGATACACGTCAGCTTCAAGCAGCTCGCGCTGAAAGGTTTTCGGCTGTAGGGTTTGGGCTTGCTGATAACCATAGACCGTGAACCCTGACGTATTACAATAGTATGTCAAGGTGCTGTGCACTCAATGTGTGGGACCCTTTGCACATCCTTTGCACACTGAAGCAGGGCTGACACTTGAGGGTGTCACGGTTTAGAGTTTAAGGTTAGCAATGGCATCCCAGTTATCAGCATCTCCCAACACTGAAGTGTAGAACATCGGGGGGAAAGTAGCAGGCTTGATCGCTCTTCGCCCTTAAACCCGGGACCCCAGGTGTGCAGAAGCTCTCGCATTCCTTGGCTTGGGCGCTGGGGCTTTTCTCTTCAGGCCGGCAGCAATCTTGTCAGCAAAGACGTGGACTTGCAAGCAAGGGCTGTGCAACATCGAGTTCAGGGATTGATTGCTGAGGGTGCAAAAACCAAGAAACAAACAACAAAAAAACAATAGCCGTGAAAGATTCCCTCGGAGGCGAATGTATGATCATTGTACGATTGTGCGGTTTTCTTTGGAGCTCATGCCACATAGCCACCGTGAAGTCCAGTCGAGCGCTCAGGGTTATGCTACCCCAAATCTTGAACAAGAATGAGTGTTTCTGAACCGAAAAAACTAAAACCAAACCGACGTTATAGACAAAGATGACAAAGGGCCTTCAAGCCTCAAAACTGAGTCCTGAACACTGCCAAACCCTAAACCCTAGACCCTAGGACGATAACAGTCGGCTTTTCCCCGCCCTCGTGCACAATGGGCTATTGCAGTTGCTGGGAATGTTCGACTGGTGCAATAAAGCTGAGTCACACGATGTCGGCATGTTGAAAGCTGGAAGCATCTGGTGGGGATACCACATCCCTTCGTTGATGGGTCTGTTTTTCGTGCTGAGTGATGGAAACATCCGGTGTGGCTTCATTGATGGGTCTGCTTTTCACGGTGGAATTCTGCACGGGAGAACTTCTGAGTGTTGGGCAGTGACAGCTTCTCATAGGACATCCTAATGCAGATAGTGATTGCTTGCAGTCTAATTCGTAATTGATAATTCTGTGCATGTCAGAACGGCATTTTGCTGACGTCATTTTGTAGCACTGGTACAGCCCTTGGTGGTCGCTCTTTGTAGCGTGTTGTGGTCGTGTCATCCTCGTTGGCTCTATTCCTATCGGTTCTAGTGTGTAAATTTACAGACTAGGAGAGCCTGGGAATGACATTACCTTGACGATGTGACTGATCATAGTCCGCGACACTGGTTATGTCTGAATTAGGGCTAGGCGCAGTCGTGGTCTGGTCAGCCTCATCTAGTACAGTTGCCTGTCTTTCATTCCCCGTCATCGAACCTCGCTAGTGGGCATAGATCCTCAGCCATGCGAGAGGGGAAAAAACGCTGAACCCTAGACCCTAAGCCCTAAAACCTAAAACCTAAGCCCTAAAAAATCCTAAACCCTAAACCCTAAAACATTCTAAACCCTAAGCCCTAACAAAATCCTAAACCCGAAGCCCAACTGACGAGTCCTGAACACTGTAGCCAGGCGGTCGCCAACGCCCATCCGCCGGGCTGGGCAGTGTGCCTTCATGGGAATCTCGGCTGTGAGGTACTACTTGCAGCAGGGTTAAGAGCAGTTAAGGGTTTAGGAGTACCCTCCTTTCACACATAGAGTCCAGGATCTCGGTTCTGATTTACTACCAGAGTTTATAAGGTTTAGGAGTAGCCGAACCCCCCCCAAAAAAAATCTACGGTTTTTGGGTGATGTGAGTTGAAACTGAACCTTGAAAACGTCATCATGGGCTGCTTGGGTTTTGCTGTGGGCTTCGTTGAAAGCTTGCGGATTGTGGTTACGGTTCCAGTTGCGCGGGTGTCTAGGGCTTGGGCATGCGTACGGTTCCAATTGGTTTCGGGGGCCTCGGTGTCAAGGGCCATAATGAAGCTTGATTGAAGTTACCATCGATATATAGTTCGTTATAGGGCTACCCTAAGCCCACAGTTATATAGTCAATAATAGGTCTACCCCAAGCCCGAAGTTTGTGAAATGGACGTCTAGCGGGAAAACCAAACATCCAGGGAACCGGAAAACGGTGGGTTCTGTAGGGCTCAGGTAGGGTTTCGGCTTTCGGCCCCCTGGGCAACCTAGGTGGCCTCCTGGGCGCGGGGCCTGTGGGGTGCCCTGGTGTGATAATTGAGTCCATGGAGTCCCCTAAACCCTAAAACCCTAAACCGTAAAACCCTAAAGCCGTAAAACCCTAAAACGAAAAACCCTAAAGCCCTAAAGCCCTAAACCCTAGAGTCCCATGGTTGTTAGGCTCTAAACGTATGAGGACTGCTGGGTCGACCTGACGGATCCAGGGTCATGCTTACCCATAGGCTCCATAGTAGTTCCTTCTTGGGATTGGTGGGTTTAGGGTTTGGGGCTTAGGCATAGGCCCCTAAGTGGTTCCTTCTTGGGATTGGTGGGTTTAGGGTTTAGGCTCAGGCTCCTAAGTAGTTCCTTTTTGGGAGTACCTTATGGGATTCTAATTATGAACCATAAAAAGGAACTACTTAGGGGCCTATGGGTAGTGGCGGGTTTGGGCTGCAGGTTTCGCTGCCGGGGGTTTAGGGCCAGTTTAGGGCTCCGACGGGCATACAGCTCGAGTCCGTGCTCAAAAAGGGGTTTAGGGGTAGAGGGTTTAGGGTAAAGCTTTCGGCAGTGTGACAGCTTTAGACTTGACAGCTTCTCTAGTTTCCGGCGATGTAGCGATGAAGCAAATGTGTTACTGTCTTGCGCATGGGCCGTAGCAAGAGAAACTCAGCATGGTTGAGTGAATTCTTGCTGTCTTGGTTCGAAGCAGGAAATGGTGTTTGGCACAAGCACCTGAAATGTTGGTGCCAAGTTGGATTCAGGTTGACGATTGTAAGCTTTGAAGCCTTGAATTGCCGAGAATCCCAGCAAATGTGACCCTCGCTGACTATTCTGGCGTGACTTCAGGCAGGGATCGTCGTAATCTTGGGATGAAGGTGTGACCCGCACTGCTTTGTAGTGCGGCATGTGCTGAGGATAGGCACATCTTGCAGACTAAGTCCCAAGGACCCTGAGGACGGAGAACCCTTAGAGCTCTTTGATCTGTCGGATTGCGAAAAAAGCATGCTGCTCGACTTACATGCTCAGGTGACATCCCCTTGTCCACCGTAGTAAGCCTTACCAGAACAGTCTCCATAGCTTGTGTAGAACTGAAGTTAAGCCCTGAAGTGTATTGACCCGTGGACATGGGCCCGCTTAACAGAGAACAACCTCAGGAGTCCCCGTTGCATACTATCGGCTCAGGTATTTGATGTGGAGCGGCAAAGCTCGAAGCCTGAATCACGAGGACATCTACGACCGTGCATATCGCTGTCGGTCGCTTACCTGATGTCGAGCTTGCGGCTTCAGGAGAGATGGGTAGTGCTCTAAATCATTATAAAAAGGACCTTAACCAAAATGGACCCTACTTTAGAGAACTACCCAGATGTTGATGATCTTTTCAGGCTTCCGGGCCGGGGGTTTGCTGTCGGTTTAGGTGGCGGGGGGTAAGAAGGGCTCCTAGTTGCTGAAACTCTTTGGTAGGATGCTGATCCCTAAGACACCGCGACGCCCCGAACCCCCCTAGACAATATAAGTTACCGAAGGAAGCTCGTAATTAGCCCTGAACCTCAATAATATAATACCAGATAGTTAGAGCTCCTGATTACCATGAAGATGCCCCCCCCCCCCCCCCCTTAACCAAAAAAGCGGCCTTATCTTACTTCTTCATGCTTCTATATATTACACCACTCTCTACCCTCGTAGCTTAGTCCAGCCCGAAGCTCCCCGGCCCTCGCCCACCACACGCCAACCAGGCTTGAGGGGTTTAAGGTTTTCAAGGGGTTTCCTTACAGGTCTTCCTCCGTCCCTTAAATCCTCATAATGAACAAGCTATGATAGGAATCCAAAGTCCTACGCCCCTATAGACCCTTCAAGGTACAACAGGAACCAGCTCCGCATCGACGGCGCCTTCGAGGGGAGCGCCTACCTTGGCCTCATCGGAGGCCTCGAGCAGCCTTTTAGAATGTTTTTTTTTCTTCTGAGGTTTAGGCTTAGGGCTTCAGGTTACGGTTTAGGGTTTAGGGTTCAGGACTTCAGGGTTAGGTGCCAGCGTTCGAGAGTTCTGCAAGCCCTCACAGCCCTCAAGCCCAACCCGAAGCATTTGCACAGGCTTGCTCACGACACGCAGCGTGATGGGAATGATTGCGGATGCCGGTGATTTGACTGATTTTCAGGGCTTTGAAGAGCTAAAACTCCACCAGCACAGCGGTCGCCGGTCTCAATCGCAACAAGATGACACAGATGTCAGGCATGCTAAGACAGGAAATATTCAGAAAGACGGACCACCCTAAACCCTAAATTCAGAACAAACAGAATTTGGAGTTGACCAGGCCTGGCCACAGAAGGGATTTGGGCCATGGGGCCTTAGAGGTTTAGGGTTTAAGGTTTAGGGTTCAAAACGGCTAGTATTCTACATACTTTTTGGGGGTTTAGGTAGGGGTTTAGTCTCTTTATCATCGACGGCCTGAGCCTGTTTGTCCTAGGTAGTATTAGGGAGACCCCTTAAAGGGGACCCTTCTGAACCTTACTTGTGGCTCTCTTAAAAGGGACCTTATTGAGAGGGTCTATATCCCCCCAGGGTCCCCCTAATCCTACCTCCTAGTTTGTTGTTGCCACACCATGAAGTTAGAAGTTGGCAGTAAGACCTAGAGGAAGAGGAAGAGGCAAACTAGCAGCTTGCTTCCTCCCCGCAAACTTGCAGGCATAGGCATGGGCGACCGTAAGCCAAGGCTAGCAGCTTCACCCCCGAATGATCCACCCTCAGACATTGAGCCCAAATCCTAGAGTGCAGAACCTTCCGGGCACACATGCTCTCCACTGTACTACTGTTGATGATATAAATCCTGCATTACCTTAAGGACCCTAAACTATGGGAATTATTGTATATTCCTCAATATGGCTAATGCAGGATTTATATCATCAACCGTACTTCAGGCAGGACCCCCGAAGGAAAGCTTATTTTAGGTCCTATGCTTGTTTGTTTTTTTCTTAATGCCTTACCCTAACCCCCCAGGTACCTACTATATAGGGTACTAGAGCCCAGAGGGCCCTATATAGTAGGTACCTGGGGGTTTAGGGTTAGACCCTTCAGGGGGTCGGAGTTTCGAAGTAGCAATCCCAGGCTTGGTGTCCACGGCTGGTTTGCTTGGCGCTGTCGCATGGACGGTGTCTTGGCGTCGGCTCAGGGTTCAGGATGCGAGGGTGTAGGGTCAAGGGTCAATGTTGGGGGCAGAAGCAAGTCAGTAGTAATTTAATACTCTTCTTCCGGGATACTTTACGTGCTTATAGTATGATATACCCCAAGCACTATCTGCGAGTTGTTAGGGTCATGGGTTTGCGGTCATGGAGAGAGCTTTTGTCAGGAATATCAACTAGCCCGTGGATTCAGAAGCATTCCTGGAACTACAAAGTATATGTTTTGGAGGTAGTGGGTGTATTATATTGTGTTTTTTCTAAAGTATCCTCTACGCAACGTAGGCCCCAATCTGGGTTAAGGAAGCCCGCTCGGCCCAGGAAGAAGTGATCCCTTAGCCAATTTCGTGGCCCGACTTCAGGCTGAAGGTCCCCCCATTTGGGACTTTCCGAGAATTCTAGTACCGTATTTTGGGGTCCTTATAATAAGGATCCTACTATTTAGGGTGCTATATTAGGGTCCCCTATTTTCGGAAACCCCCATTTTGCTGAAGCCTCCCATGTTTTTACGGGACCCGGAACAAGCAGGAAGATCATCGGCTTACAGCCTCCTTGTTTTTTTCTAGTATGACTTAACTTCAAAAGCCCGTAATACCCCCTTTGAGAACCGACCCTCCCATGATGAGAAGAGGGCTTCTGAATTTGAATTGGTTTTTGTCGAGTGCGGAATGCAATCTCCTGGCTGGCAGTGACTCTTCTGAAGGAAGGTGCCTTGAGCTATAATTATTGAAGAAGTCGGAACAGCAACTATTACTTCCTCAGGGTTCCACAACAGAAACCACAACTATGTTATCTAAGGCTACTTGGAGTCACAGGCTCTCTGCTTCAGAGGGATCAGAGTTTAATTACTTTCAGGGATTTGGGTGGGCATTTATGAAGAAAGGCTTCGTTTAGGCTTAACTCTGGAAATCAGAGGAAAGCCTCATCTGTCTTTGATGCCTGCACTCTTGCGTGACTTAGGGTCTATACGAGTTACAGGTACTACAGGGTGTTTGGCGTTGGAAGGCGACAGTGGCTTATCCTTGGTGGCTTCATACTCTGTCGTGGAGTTGCTTGCAGTTCAGGGTTCTGCTGTTAGGCGTTCTGGCTGAGTACTTCTATTTCAGAAGCCTGTGAGAAAAGTCCGAGATCGATCTGGTATGGCGCCCGCCCCACACCGCCCTTGCTCCCCGGTAACCCTGTAAAACCCGAAGGTCTTGAGATCCCAATCTCTACCCATCTCGCAGACTGTCTCGTGAAGTGTGTCCATACTCAGGTCTACAGCAAGCCTGACAAGTTGAAGTGGCCGGAGGAGTGAACTTGCAGCGCGTGGAACCGGAGGGGGCTGAGCTTCAGGCTAAAGGGGGTCGGATAAGTTAGATAATAGTGAAGCCGAAATGAACACCAATACTATTCCTGAGGGCTCCTTAAAACAAATATGCGGTAAAGGAGCCTAGTTTGCTATTCTAGTTATATCAAGGCCCCTAGAACCCGTTGAAACTCCTCGGATCTGCGGCTAGGACTTTCTATTCCTTGGGAGTCTCTCTCTCTCTCTCTCTCTCTCTCTCTACCCCTGAGAGTTCAAGTGCTCGGACAATTTTGTGGGCTCCCAAAAAATTCTGGTCCCTTTTTGGGTCCCCAGCATAGTACGGCACCCTTATAAAAAGGACCTCGGACAGGGACACTGATGTAGAAGACAACCCAGGTACTTTTGGCCCGAGAGTCCTTCCTACTTAGTTGTGGCTTTTACGAATAGCAGGTGTAGCCCGATTAGGAGGCGATCCCGGGCACAATCCGCCTTAGACTTTAAACCATCCTTGTACCCAATCAGCCCAAAATCCAACCTTTATGTAGAAAATCTAAGGAATATCATTTCCCTCACAATAAGAAGCCAACTATTATGATTCTCTAGTAGAAAAGACAATTGCTTATTCCTCAGCTTAGCCAAAGGCTCCATGTACCCATATGGTATACACTTAGACCCCAAAGTACCTATATAGGAACCCCTTTAAGGCCTAAGTATGTACTATATGGGTACATGGAGCCTTTGGGTTAGCCAAGAGGCTTCCAGGGGGGACCTTGAACCCAGAGCCCAAGGCCCTGGTCACGAAGGGGTCTCCTGCATTACAGAACCCGGCAGAGCCCGGAGTAGGGTTTAGGGTTCAGGGGTTTAGGGGGGTTTAGGGGTTTAGGGGTTTTAGAGTTTAGGGGTTAGGGGTTTAGGGGTTTAGGGTTTAGGGGTTTAGGGGTTTTAGGAGTTTTTAGGGG